ACATCGATGACCCGTTCCTGCTCCACATAGAGCCTTTGAGAAAACTCACATCTGTCAGTCGGCTAGAAATAGAAGATTGTAGTCATCTGGAGGATGCTCAAGCAGAGTCATGGATGTTGAAGAATTCAACTTCACTGCGACGTCTCGTTCTGCGGGGTATTGCAAAGTCCTTGCCTTCTAGCCTCCAAACTCTCTCTTCCCTCGAGTATTTGGTACTTGGAAACGCTCGTGAGCTTCAATCACTGCCACAACTTTCTTTGTCTCTGCGACAGCTGTATATCTGGTCCTGCAACGAGGCACTGAAGGAGCGATGCCGGGAGAATGAAGGTGCTGATTGGCCCAACATCCAACACATCCCTCACATCAAAATTGGTTAGCTATTCGGTAAAATCTCTCTTCCTCTTATGATGTTGTATCTAGGGGTGGCAAACGGGTCGGGTCGGGTCGGGTTATAGTTGACCCGACCCGTTTAAGTGTGACCCGACCCAACCCGTTTAATAAATAGGTCAATGTGATCTGACCCGTTTATTAAACGAGTTACCCGACCCGTATAACCCAAATGACCCATTTGATCAAAATTTGGGCTGCTACGGTCTTTTTCCTTGATTAAGTAGTAGATATTTCTAAGTTATGTTGATTATCAAATGAATGACTCGGATGTTTGCTCATCTCCAGAAGGAACATGTAGAATCTGTGTCATACATAATCCTCGAGAAAGAATGTAGCTACTGTATCATACTCAAGAGAGAACGTAATTAACTGAAACACTGTATCAAAATTTTGCCTGGGTTACGTTTGTAAGTTTTGATCGAGCAATAAAATTCCTCACCTTATTTAAGAAAAGAAAAAAGAAAGAAAAAAAAAGAAGCTTAAAAATGTACACACGAACTGAAACAATTAATGGATACTGTCGTTAACAATTTGAAACATAGTATTTTTACTACTTACAACATCAAGTTGATCTAAACATGGACAGAGGGGTACAAAATTAAAGCGTATAAAATCCAATATATACTGGAAATCATCTACTACTACAATCATGGAAATAATTTCTCCATTATTTCCTCGTCGGAGACTACAACTGCAATACTATTTTTTTCACATATGCACGTCCTCCTCCTCAAACTTAGATATAATAAGTTGATAGCCAGCGTTACACGCGCTGGAACATGGGCAAAACGATCACCATCGCCATTGACAGGTTTTCGGGGCAGAGAGAAGAAAAACCTCTCCTCCCTCCAAAAAAAACTCTCCTGGGCCAGAGCAATATTATCTGATATACACCTCCCTTTGATGAAAGCCCCCCTGGTTGGGGGATATGTTATGTGGAAGGATGAGAGCCAATCTGCTACATAAGGCCTTATGAAAGCCCCCCTGGTTGGGGGATATGTTATGTGGAAGGATGAGAGCCAATCTGCTACATAAGGCCTTTGAGCTACAAAATATCAGTTAAAGGACAAATTTTCAAAACCAACCGTTTTAGGAATTTAATTGCAAAAAACGACCGTTTTCGATAATAATTGCAAAAACCGACCTGTTTTCAGCCCAGCGCTGAAAACAGGTCGGTTTTTGTAAAAAAATCTCCGAAACATCACGGGAGTTCAACTCCCGTGAAGTTTATGGAGAAATTAAACTTCACGGGAGTTCAACTCCCGTGAAGCTTAATTTGTGCTTAAAACTCCACGGGAGTTCAACTCCCGTGGAGTTGCAGTCAGCAAATCCAGAGACTCGATCTCTGGCAAATTGTGATTGCAACTATCACGCGAGTTCAACCCGTGAAGTTGCAAGTCCACAATTTGCGAGAGATCGAGTCTCTGAAATTTGGCACTGCAACTTCAACGGGACTTGAAATCACGTGAAGTGCAGGTCACCCAGCATGACACAGCTGCTGTGCGAGGTTATGTATATTACCTGTAAATCAATATATGTCCAATTATTGCAAACAACAATAATACATGATTCAACAATGAAATTATAACTGCATATATATCCAATTTATTTGAACAACAATATATACAGGTTTTGTATATTTACCTGTAACATCATATATATGTCAATTTATCTTTCAAACAACATATATACTGATTCAACAATCGAATTATAACGTCATTATATAATGTCAATTTATTTGCAACAACAACAATATATAACTGATTCAACATGAATTAACCCCCGTTATGTATACTGACGAAAATTTATCGTCAAAAGCTTCAGTATTTGAAAATTCAGGAAGTTACAAAATTATCAAAATAAGTTTCATATACAACCCAAATATAGCTCCCTCCTTCCTCTCCTCTTTCCCGCTCCCTCCCTCTTCCGCCGGCCCGCCTGGGTTCCTGCTGATGAGCCGAACTAATCTGAGTATCCGGGTCTGTGTAATGAAGGGCTGGCGAGTGCGCTCCACATCGCTGCGGAGTGCGGCGTCATCGCATGCGACAGTGCCGGGCTATCGCATGCGAAGTGCCGGCTCCATCGGCATGCGAAGTGCCGGCGTCATCATCACGCGGCCGTCGACGTCGAGCGTACGCCCGTCCAAATGAGCGAGACCTGTCCTCACGGCCTGCGAACTCGTCGACGTGAGTCTTATGGAACACCTGCGCTATGCTCTTCTTGATCCTGCTGAGGAGACCTAACGCCACCTGATCCTGAATCTCAGTCACGTGCGCATCAATATCAGCATCAATGCTATCTAAAACACGGACCTGCGTGGTAAACAATTTATTAAGTATCAACTCAATAAAAAATATTATAATTTAGCTTAGAAACTTACGTAATCTCTCTCGTTCATCCCACTAGGGATGTAACTATCTGTCGGTGGGCGTGGCATGTGTCCAGCTAAAGGCTGTGGGTCACGCGTGATCCATTTACGTGTGATACCCCAATACCAATGCATATACGTGGTATAGTCAACAGCTGTGGGCCTCGTATCCTGTATGCAATCCCACCTCTGAACCCACCTGTCTATGTAGGCCGCACGGACTACGGCCCAGTTGTTGGCCTTCTTGTTTTGATGATGTTTAACAAACACCGACGATTGATCTGCTCGACAGGATCTGGAATATGCTGAGAGAGTGTAAACTGCCGTAGCACACGGTCCGGTACATGCATCTCTACGATCTCCCAACAGATCAATGGAACTCTGGCTCTCCACAAGTCGGGACTATCTCGGCAGATAGGTGCAAGAGAATGTATATCGAGCTCCGGCGGTGTATAGGGTCTCCACTTGAACTGAAATAAAGTAAAACATTTATCTTTATCATACAGAAAAACTATAATATTCATACTTCTTGAGTTTTATATTTACCTGTTCATGCTGGAGGCCATCAAGCTCATTTCGGTAAAACTGACGGTGACACGTCGCTGATTTGTACTGAGCGTATCGCACGTTATACCTATATGCAGAATAGCGAATATATAAGTACAAATATTCAGGTTACGAATGAAATATGTGTGTGTACAATTATACCTGTATGCCAACGGAGACTGCCCCTCTAAGCCACGGTGCATAAGTAAAGTGGGTCGTCCAATATGAATGCGCTCCCATGACCAAATCTGTATCAACGTACAGCATCCCTTGAATTCTTTATTCTGCATCAGAGATACTCTACTCAATTCTCGATACAAATATGCCAACACCGCACTGCCCCACGATAGTGCCCCGCATACACCAAAATCCTCCAGCAGTGGCAGCCATCGTGCATGTACGAGAGTCTTGCTCGCATCAGGAAATAGTACGCACCCTATCATGTGCAATATGTATGCACGAGCATGAAACTGGAGCGTCTCATCAGAGGCATCCTCTGGTATGTCGCCCTGAAATGTCTGACGAAGCTACGATAGCTTCATCGCACCACTCCTCAAGTCGGGAACCTGTCCAAGTAGCTGGGCACATACCTCCGGCCAACTATGATCGTCGGTGCCCGTAACTACCGGTCCATCAATCCGGAGCCCAAGTATGACGGCCACGTCCTGTAAAGTGATCGTGCACTCCCCTATATGCATGTGAAAGGTGTTGGTCTCTGGCCTCCACCTCTCAATCAAAGCAGTGATAAGCGGCCAATCAAGCCTGATATAACGAATCGTCGAACACGGTCGAAAACCGGCCTGAGCGATCAAAGCTAGTACCCTCTCATCCTCTATGACCCATGCCGAATGACTATGGGAATGCTCGATCATCGTGAACTCTGGTACGGGCTGCACATAAAACGAGAATCAGTTTTAAGTATATTCATTAAAAAATTACATTAATCGAAGAAATATATATCTAATTTATTCGTATTACCTCTCCCGAACCAATATGGTCTGAACAATGACTCGCCTGAAGGATACAGAACATATTACAAATAACGAGAAAGATAACAACTACGAATGACATACACGAATGACATAGTGCAAAACGCTACATAATACAAATGCATGGGTGAAATGAACGGAGTTGCATACAGAACATATTACAAATAACGAGTATCATACGCTTCAAAGATAACAACTACGAATGACATACATGATCTGACATAGTGCAAAACGCTACATAATACAAATGCATGGGTGAAATGAACGGAGTTGCATACAGAACATATTACAAATAACGAGTATCAAACGCTTCAAAGATAACAACTACGAATGACATAGTGCAAAACGCTACATAATACAAATCAACGCCTAATACTAACTGGACACCTATTTTTGTTGTGACCCGGTTGATCACATCTACTGCACTTATTTCTCCTCCTAGCTCCTTCACGTCCGTCATCCATACTATTTCTAATACGCACGGAACGAGGGCGCCCCGCCGATCTTTTATACAATGGAGGTAATATCCGTGGCCCATCTTGTGTCCAATGTCGACTATCGTATGGTGGACGAAAACACTCTTTGTAGGTTTGTTGATAGTTGTATGCAGAATACCAAGCGTCGACAAATTCATAATGTGAAATGCGAGCACCACCCTGTAGGTCGGAGCAAGCTGCTACAACATGTGAACAAGGAATCAATTGTAGTTGCGGTACATTGCAAGTGCACGTACAAGTGCGATCCACCAACATATTGACTTTGTAAGAGCGATTTTCTCTATGGGTTATTCCCTCGAGCACCTCCCATTCATTAAAACTGTATCGTACAACCTGAAAGGACCGAGCTTGTACAATCCGAGCCGCTAGCATTTCATCAACCTTCGGTGTTAGCTGGGAGCGCATATTTTCACCAAGTTCTCGACGTCGAACAAAGAATTTATTAAGCCTGTAAAAAGTTTTAGCAACTAGTGCCTGTATTGGCATGCCGCGTGCTCCCCTGAGCACGCCATTGAAGCTCTCAGACGCGTTCGTAGTCATCATACAGAACCGTCGACCGCCATCCTCACATAAAGCCCACTTATCAACATTGTTTGGACCCAAACTAGTTTCGATCCAATCATGTGCGGCTCGTGAAGTGAACTTGATCCTCTCTCGTATTTGTTCATAAACATATTTTTCTGTTGCACAACCGGCTTGCCAAAGTAAGTCTTGAACCTGAGCGTTTCCATACTTCTTCTTGAAGTTGTCTCTAATATGTCGCAAGCAATAGCGATGTGCATGTGGTGGCGGGAAATGTCGTTGGAGTGCTCTTGGAATTCCTTTCATCCTATCGGATATGAATGTAATCGACCGCGTCCCCACACTAGGGATATGATATCTAATGCATGCAAAAAACCAAGCCCAATTCTCTGTATTTTCAACATCAACCACTGCGAATGCTAAAGGAAACAACCCGCCATCCGCGTCAACTCCGGTTGCAACAAGCAAAACGCCTTTGTATTTACCATATAAGTGAGTTCCATCAATGCTAAGAAGAGGACGGCAATATCGAAACCCCTCAATACAGGGCCCAAATGCCCAAAATACACCGGTGAACCGCCGTTCTCCGCCATCAACGGGGTCCGAAGATACTTCGTAGACAGTCCCCGGATTTTCTCTTTTGAGTGCTTCAAGATAATGAGGTAAGATCTCATACGAATTATCCCAATCCCCGAATATTTTTATCATCCGAATATTTTTATCAATTTCTCCTTACTCTCGTAAAGATCTCCCTTGATGAATGAGAAGTCCTCGGCCTGTGTATCAACACCGCTATTAGTGCCAATAGGAACACTTTCCATCGCGGAGTTATCAATCCATTCATCTCCTTGAAGTTCATCGGGCGGCGGATCCTCTAAGCCGACATACTCATTATTAACATAAGCCCCGTCGATGTGTTGGTTTTCCCCGTCATCACGATCTATCAAGGTCATGCTATTAATTTGTAATCCCTCCTCTTCATCATCATTCTCGGATTCAACACTTGCATTATCTTCTTGGAGGAGAAAGTGGAAGAGGAAAAAGGAAAGAAGAAAGATGAAGAAAAAGTGGTGGAAAACAGAGAGGGAGAATGTGCTGAGGAGAAACTGGATGAAGAAAGGATGGAGGATGGAAAACAGGTGCAAGTTTATCAGAAGAGAATGAAGAGATTAGCGTCAAAGGGGACTAGGGGACCAAGTACCAGAAGGCGGACGCGCTCACAACTAGTCCGCACCCCTTTCACTCAAGAAAAGAAGAAGGAAGTTCATCAAGAGATAATTAACATATCACACCACAAGGAGGAAGAGAGGGAAAAAATCAGGTTCTATTGTAAGCCTGATGAATGCACTTGGGATTTTTTGGGGAAGAGGAAAATCAAGAAGAAGGAGGAGGCTCTTTTGAAGTTGCTGAACGAGGATATTCCTAACATTGATGATTTTAGCATACGTTTGATTGATAGTAAAGGAACCTTCGTTCACAACTTTAGAGTACCTCAACACGTATTATCAAAGCTCACACCAGATGAGAACAGAAGGATCTCTGAGTTTTGCAATCAAAAAGCCCATCAGTAAGTTTAGTCATTCTGAATAACGTATGCTAGGACATGTTAGCTTTCATTGTTACGTGTTAACATTTCCAGGTTTATGTTAATTATTACCCATTTATGCTAACGTTTGCTATAAAATGTTAGCTTTCATCGTTACGTGTTAACGTTTCCTTATTTATGTTAACTTATACTCATTTATGCTAACGTTTGCTAAATCATGTTAATATTTCCATATTTTTCTATAGTAAGTGGTTGAACGAGGTTTGGATCTTATTGTTATGTTTCAGGTCACGTGTTATTGTTAACACATTCAACAGTAGTGTCGATTCATTGGAACTTCTTAATCTTCTACGTGGCGGCCGTATCGATGACCATGCAAGTTTGATATGTTAATCTCTTACGCATTTTATGAGATGACTGGGTGCTGGGTAATTTAATTTGTTTCTGCTCCATGGTAAATTTACAGGTGATGGAAGCTCTTGTAGATAGGCTCGTCACATGGCTAGAGAGGCCAGATGTGGAGTCCATGGGCAACCAATATGGGGTTGTATCGACATTCTTCTGCGTAAGCATTAGGTTCAATCTCCTACCATTTTTATCTCATGTTTACAATTGGCTTATCATTATTTTTTGGCAATACAGCATAGTCTTTATGCAGTCACCCCAGATTTTCCACATCTATACACCTCTTTCATACAAAAGCATGTTGCCGCAAGGAAGAATGTACTCCTTATCCCGCTTGTGCGTCATGACCACTGGCATGTGGCTGAAGTAAGGTTGGATGAGGACGTTGTCAAGCATTATAGCTCGGCTGGCCATAGTGCATACATTGAGCCAGTAAATAAAGTAATTGCTTTCATGGACCATATGAAATCTGGTTTGGATCCGAATAATATTTGGAGAAAGTTCCGATATGAAGCCGTCCCTTGCGAGCAACAGACTGGAATGTTAGTATTTCATGCATTTAAACATGTGTTAGTATGTTAACTAAATCTAAACATTTTCATTTTATTACGCATGTTATATCTAACTCTCTTGCCATCTTATATCATGCAACTTTGATTGTGGGATTTTCGTTCCTTTATATATAAAGGCTATAATTCATGGGGTAGATACCACTCAAGTAACTAATCACTCTGACGAGTCTGAAGTCATCCGTGCCAGGCTTGCAGCTGAACTCCTAATAGAAGGATGGGAACAGAAAAATCAAGGGGAGACAGTAGAAAAGGATGGGTGAATGATATCCTAAAAAGTAATGTGTACGAACAGATTGAATTGGGAACAAAACTAACTGGCATTTAAATTTAGTTAACATTATTACAGCTGTGTATCATTCTCTTTGACAGTTATTCCACTGTTTGTGTAATTGGTTGATAGTGTGGATGAGAAGATGTACATATCTAGTATCGAAACTGGTTGCTATTGTAAACATTGCTAATAACAGGTTGAAATGCATCACAGTTCATGTTGACTTATACTGATAGAACATGTTACTGATATATTGAGAAAAAACCAACATTGATTTACATATTCCTCCTAAGGGTTAACATAATATAAGAAAAGATGACATGTAGTCAACCACACAGATAACCTATTACGCTGAAAGTAAACAAATTTGCCAAAAAATTGGTAAAAAACCCACTTTCACTAAAAGTTAACGTATAACTCTGATAGTTAACCACTTTCAGTAAAGGTTAACATATAACTCCGAGAACATAACCACTTTCAGAATTAACGTACTGTAGGCTGTCTAAAAATCACAATAGATAGTTAATCCCTCATCAAACACCGATGATGGAAGTTATAATCTGACGACTTCCAGAAGACTACAATTTGAGGACTTTCACGTAGAAGGTTACAATCTGACGACCTTCACAACAACTAATGAAGGCCCCAATTCAACAGCATTCACAATCAACATCGGGAGTTACAACCTGACGACTCTCATATTTTCAAGGAGCCAAGACGAAGATTACAAGAGGACGATCTGTGCAAAGCTCTAGCAAAAGAGACTACAAATTGACGGTCTCTTCATATTAAAATGCAGATATCTCTCAAACCGTAAGGAATTTGGCAAAACGGAGGAAGCGAACCAAAGCCTCCGGCTTGGTTCGGATGGCCCCGTCTCGCCGATTTTCATATATAATTCGTCTAATTCTGACTTACGGTTTGAAAGTTATGACCTGTTCTTCGCAGCAAATTATGGTCTGAGGTCCGTTTGCAAGACTGGACTTCATCAGAACATTGGACTTAGCCTGAAGCCCGCCAAGCCCGCCTAAGGTTCGCCTCAGCCGTTGTAATGAAGCTGTTAGCACAGTATGATGGACAGTTAGCCGTTAGAACAGTGAATGAGATGTTAGACATTTGGCCAATTTAAAATGAAAATCTTTTAATAAAATCTAAGATGAACAAGCACAAATCCGTTAACATCTTTCAGCCTTGCTTTTAGATATTGCTAGCATGAAGAAAATGATTAGTCGATCATTATCACAGATTACAAAAGTCCACCACTATATACTTAACCACTTACAAAAGTATTGTTGTAAGATGCAGAAACACACTAGTCACCAGATGGGCTCGTTACAGGTTGCTCGATTGTGACCATCAACTTTGCACCGAGAACATTTGACTGGACGTTTGTAAATGGTTCTGTTGTTTATGCGTCTTGTTTTATTTCTTCCCCTCCTCTTAGTGGTAACTGGTGGCAAAATCTGTATTTCATCCCTGGACACACTCCGCTTCTCATAATCTGGGATGGGATATAATATTTCGTCGTAGCTCTTGTTAAACGCTTCTACGGACATGAACCAATCACAATATTGATATACGTCTCTTTTCATATATATAATGACTGCACAAGCATGCACACAAGGAATACGGGTTACGTCCCAAGACCGGCAAGTGCACGTCCTCTTCTCCAAATCAACGTGAGTAGTTCTATGTGACAGCACTTCGAATATATCATCTCTAGATTGTTTAACCTCTAAAGTATGTACTCTTTCCATATTTTCTCTAACAATCTTCTCAGCTTTAGGACACAGATAGCTTGTCCACTTATCAGCCATTATCCGTCTATTGTTCAGGCGACTCATAATTTGTTTTCGGATATGCTCTACCATTGGCAGGATACGTAACATTCGAGCTTCACGTATCCAGCTGTTAAAGGATTCTGCAACATTAGAGGTTACATGACCATATCTGCAAAGCACAAAATAATTAATAGTATGATGGGCATCCAATATGTAATAAAATTAACACGTAACAACAAAACTTAACCTTTACTGCTCAAAGTTAACATAAAAACATCAGTGTTAACATATATTGCTGAAAGTTAACATATATCAGACAAAGTTAACCTATAGAAAGAAAAATTCACATATATGTAGAATAGTTAACATCAACTGCAAAACGTCATAATCTAAGATGAATGCATTACCTGATGCCAGGGAAGAATGCATTCGCCCATTTCTCTGGCGAATAACAGAGTACAATCTCATATGCGACTGGAGCCATCTCATAAATTTCCTTCATGTAGTCGTTCCATTCCGCTATAGTGTATTTATAGCAAGCAGATTGGAGCAAACTCCCCAAAACTTGTGTGTCCTTTGCTTTCAATCCCAAATCCTTTAGCTTTGTTCTAAAATTTTCAACTAGGTGCAGCACGCATCGTGAGTGGATTGCTTCAGGGAAATATTCTCTCACGGCTTCTCGAATCCCCTTGTCGGCATCAGAAATAATTACCAATTGGTGGGGAGGATTGTACGGGTCTAACCTTTCATACAGTATGGACCACAAGCCTTGAAGGAACCATCTCCAATTATCAACATTTTCCTGATCACATATACAATACGCAACCGGAAATATCCCTTGGTCTCCGTCGTATGCTATGGCGCTCAGGAGCATGCCTTTGTATCTGTCTTTCAAAAAGGTCCCATCCAAAAATAATAGGGGTCTACACCCATTTAAGAAACCAACGATGCAAGCGGCATAACATATAAACAGTCTTTTGAACCTTCCTTCATTCTGGTCAATACATATGTAGCTTCCTGGATTCGTTTCCTTCACCTTTTGCTCATACCTGTACAACAATGTAGCTTCTGCTCAAGCATATATAATACATTGGAACATTAGGATAATATATTAACATAAAAGCTCACAAGTT